AATAAATAAATAAATAAATAAATAAATAAATAAATAAATAAATAAATAAATGAATGAATAAAATCTATAAAGTCAGTTTTCAGTTCAAATCTCAAAAGGATTTAGCAAAATAATTTTTTCAATATATAAATCAAGATATGTAAGGTTTATTTGTTTATTTTTTAAAACAGTCTTACTATGAAATGAAACCCTTGCTGACCTGGAATTCACTATGTAGACAGACCAAGATGTCTTCAAACTCAGAGAGCCACCTGCCTCTGTCTCTCATTTGCCACCACATCTGTCCTTTTCAAGGGTGAAGAATTTCTTTTTTTGATTTAAAAATGTATTCAAATGAATAAAACAGAGTTACTCTTTTTATTGTTATTCTTTTTTTTAATTTTTTATTAATTACACTTTATTCATTTTGTATCCCCCCATAGGCCCCTCCCTCCTCCCCTCCCGATCCCACCCTCCCTCCCCTTTCTGCATGCCCCTCCTCAAGTCCACTGATAGGGGAGGTTCTCCTCTCCTTTCTGATCTTAGTCTCTTAAGACAGAAGAGAGTCAAGGAGATCAGGTGTGTGGCCATCCAGACATCAGAAAAACATAATCTCTGTGAAAAAAAATCAGTCTTTGTTAAGGTTAAAACAGAAGGCTAGCCTGTGGTAAATTAAGACTATGTCCCTATATCTCAATTTTGATACTCGAAACATATCTTATATGGATCAAAGATGTAGACATTTGGGAAAGCAGAACAAAAAAAAAAAATAAGACTGGATTTTTATTATTCAGAAGTTAAAAAGTGTAAACTAAATGCCATAAGAATTAACATATAAAAATTATTTTAAGTTTTGTGACAAACCAAACTCACAGATGACACAGTAATAAGAAGTATATGCAGCACAGACAAAGAGCTATTGTTTCTAGTATATAAACAGCCTCTGCAAATCGATCAGAATAAAGAACCCAGGAGAAAAGTAGGACAAGAGAACTGTATATGAAGAAAGACGGCTGGTAACATATAGAATAATTAAACATCAGGGTGGAGAAGTTTGAAAATTAGCCAACGGCTGACGGCTTTTTCAATGTTGTTGTGGCATTGTTGGGGGAGGGTACACGTGTTGATGGGTGCACATGTGCACATGTGTGTGGAAGCCAGAGTCGTCATTCCTCAGGCCTCCCACCTTTTCCTTTAGACTAGCTTTAGCTCTTTCCTGGAACTCTCCAAGCAGGGCAGGCTGCCTGGCCAGTGCAGGTAAGGGGTCACCCACCCAGAACTAAGATTACATGTGTTTATCACCACACTCAGCATTGTCTTTTTAAGTGTGTTATAGAGATCAAACTCAGGCTTCTCAGGTACTTTGCTGACTAAGCCATTTCCACAGCCCCATTTATGTCATTTTTGAACTTATACATACAAAAGGAATGATCAGAAAGCCTCAGAGATTATAACACATAATCAGGAGAAGGCTCAATAATAAGCCATGCTGTACCTATTTTTAATATTTCAATAATTTTAAAGATTAACAAGAGTTTAATAATGATTAACTTGTAAATCAATCTTTTTGCTGAGAACTGGAAGAAATGCCCTCCCCCACAGACAAATTCTACCCGAGAAACTAGAGGACTCTGAGGACATAGCTGAGACATCCAGACAGAAGAGACACATTATGTGTGGATGGGTAGGTGAGGGGAGTTAGGCGCCTCCTAGGGCTGCACTGAGCACTTGCCAGTTCTCCACAAGGGATCTTGGAGGCTGCAAGCAACATCCCAGATGGTGTAAAACTAGGAGTGTCTCCTAATCTTCCTCATAGACACAAACTGAATTTAGAGCCATGGAGGCACAAGAGTTGAAAGGTGGGGTCCCAAGTCTTGCATGTCAGAAGCAGAGCAAAACTAATACAGGAGTAACCTTATGTCAGAGGCCCACTGTGAGTGCAAGCCTAGGCAAAGGAAAGCCTGTGAGGGGGACTGACACCAGCAACAGCCCAAAGCTATCTACAGCTTTATACACAGTGTCTATTAAAGAGAAGGAAAAACACAGCAGAGAAAGATACACAGAAACTGACATACTGGTGAGGTTTCATAATCTATGACAAATTTCACAGAAGTAACTACGTCATGAACAACAACACTCATGAAGTCCTTTCTGGCCCACAGAAAAATCATGTACAGAGAAATGAAAAATTTGAGGAGGATGAGATATCTATAACATACCACTTTCAGTAAACATCACAATGATATAATTTAAAGATGTTCGGGGGTTTTCTTTTTTTAAAGCCCTCACAGGGATAGCAGGATTGGCCAGTGTTGGGAAAGGCCCTTGCTGTGCAGGCCTGACCTGACTTACATTCCTGGAACTCACAGTGGAAGATTTTCTTCTTCTCATGAGTGCTGTAACACATACACACACACACACACACACACACACACACACACACACATCCCTCCCTCCCCTTT